TACTTGTTTATGATAGATGGCTATCATTTTTTATAATGGAATGTATAGAAATACAAAGAAATATTGAGATCAGGAAATCAAAAGTTTATGTATTCATAACAAAGTACAGTAACCACATAATTTTCCATAACAGAAATTAGATAAGATATTTATTGTTTTTTTTACTTTAGTTTTATATTGATTCGTTTTTAGCATTGTTCTACCACTATAGTGCTATCTTAACAAAAGCTTTCTCAGACTACAGTCTTTTGATTTCATTACACATAAATAAAGTTTTATGAAACATCATAAAAGGCCTGTCACTATACAGCACCAGCAGGGAAGTTGAAGCACCTTTTAAGGTACACTTAAAACGATTTGTGTTTGGAGTGTCCCTGTTATTTTCCTTCTGATGGTGCGTTCATGTCTTGCCATTGGACCGCAGCTCTCCAGTTGCTAAGGACCAGGTTGTGTTCCTAGTCCTCATGGTCTACATCATTCCCTGAAATGACTGGAATCCTTCTCCTCAATTATGCCTCGCACTGTAATGAAATTGAAATTTCTGTATCATATATCCTACTAAAATTTATATGAAATACAATATAGATAACCATGATTAAACTGTTTCTTTACACATATCACAAAAAGTCTTTATTACAAATATTACAAATATTATTGCACTTGTACTTATATAAACACTGCTGGTATAATATAATGAGACTAACCTGTGTCTGGTCCTAGTTCCAAAGTTCCGAGGAAGTATCTGAATCGTTTGGTCAGAATCCCGAACGCATTCTCCACCACACGTCTTCAACGGGAGATCTGGTAATTATAGATAAGTTCTTGACGCATTGCTCTTTCGAACGACTTCATCATGTAGCTTCTTTAGGCAAATGTATCGTCTCCCAGGATGAAGTGAGGGATGTCCTGGTTCTGATCATCATTAGGCAGAGAGCATGGTGGTGGCAACCCTATCTGGCCTTCTTCAATTAGTTCACTGAGCTCTGAGTCATAGATTTCTATATGAAACGATACTGGGCATCCATCAAGGGTAAGACACGAATACTGAAAAAGCCCTTGTAGTTGTGGTACAAGGAGTCCAAGTTGGTGCGTCATGGCTTCCTTATATCGATATGCTTCCCGTCCAGAGCTCCTACTGCATGAGGCACATTCCATTTGTCTTCAAACTCCTGGGCAAGGGCTCTCCACTCATCGGCGTCACAGGAACGGCGAACATTTCATCCTTGTATGCTGCCACGATTGCCTTGCACACATCCGGCACCATATGACAGATGGCTGCTTTACTACACCGGAACGCATAGGAGAGCGACGAGTAATTGTCTCCAGTGGCTAGATGTTTTATGCTGCGTTCAGAACTGCTCGTCTTGCTCGTCTAGACATCTTGTCCAGGACCAGCAGGACGAGTGGGCCGCGTTCGGAACCTCCAAGATCCTTTCTGCCTAGAATGCAACCGGCTCGAATGTAAACATTCATTTTATATCATACCGGTGTCTTTATTTTACATGCTGCATAGGTTTTGTAATTCCTTTGACTTACCTGCAACTGACAAACACAAAAATATCCTTTGATAACACCAATAAAGGGTCATAAAATTTCCCATCAATATCTGTCAATGTTTACATACAAAATCTATTGTGACGTCATCTCGACCTGCTTGCCCACCTTCGCAGGAGGGCGAGTTGGACGAGCTAGACTACTTGTCCGGGACGAGATAGTGGAGGTTCCGAACAGTCAAAACATCTCGTCCAACTGGTCTGGACGAGATATACGAGCAGTTCCGTACGCAGCATTAGAGTCACTGACAACGACAGTCCAGGTGGCAGGACAGAGCCTGCCTTCGTGTTTTGTCTCTTGATAGCTGGTGTTATTCTCTTCAAGATCTCGTCAAAGATCTCTGTAGGAGTCCTCAGATAGTTCTGGAAGTTGCTGACATCTTCAGTGCAGAGCTCTCTTATGAGAATTTTTTAGTGGCCCAATTGCCGCCGCCTTTCTCTGGAAACCATTCACACACCTACGTGGATCTTGGTCTTCTCATTTTCCTTTCTGCCTGCCACTCTCTGGTTCTCACTCTCGACAATTGCAGCTGACCTTCGAGCTGATGCAAAGACTGTATGTATGCACCCAGCAAACACACAAACGCAAATTTTGGACGTTCATGGGGTCTCAAGATTGTTATTGGTTTAGAGGAATCCTTTTTATACTGTAGCTACAAACGTGCTTCAAAGCTGCCCAACATCCACGTTTCACACGTAGAAAGCCTTGCCAAAACAGGAAAAACGTGTCACACCTTTTATCAGAACGGGAAAAACATGTCAAACCTTTAATCAGAAAGATAAAAACGTACCGATCTGATCAGAAAGTTACAGGCCTAGAGAGAACGTGTTTCTACTCGTGGACCACGGACAGAAATATAGTGCACTTTCTAGTCTCTGGGAACAGTCCCTCCCACTCCTCCCACAGCTTGTCGCAGATACCGTGACAGACCGTGAGAAAACTTAGA